AAGCAGCAAGAGAAACCTAGTTAGGTACTTAACTACTATGGGAGTTAGCTCCTCCCATAAGACTGTCAGCTGATCTCTCAGCAGAAACTTTGCAAGACAGAAGGGCTTGGCAAAAAATATTCAACGTGATGAAGACCCAGGATCTACAACCAAGAATACTTTATCCAGCAAAGCTATCATTTAGAGTTGCAAGACAGATAAAGAGCTTCCCAGACAAAAATAAGCTAAAGGAATTTTCCGCCACCAAGCCAGTATTACAGGAAATGTTGGAGGGACTTCTTTAAGAAGAAAAAACATGTATCAAAAACAGGAATAAAGAATGGTGACAACTACATTCCTATCAATAAGTACCTTAAATGGAAAAGAAGTGCTCCAATCAAAAGATAGAGAGGCTGAAAAGATAAGAAAATAAGACCCCTACATATGAAAAGGAAGGGGATGGAAAAAGATATTGCTTTGATGGACCGAGAAGGTATTTAAGTCAGACAGAGAAAGATAAACACTATATGATTTCACTTATATGCGGAATCTAAGGAATAAAAAGAACAAACTAATCATAAATATAGTGGACAATCTGGTGACGGACAGAGAGGAGGTGGGTTTGCGGGGCTGGGAGAATGGGGTGAGGGTTAAAGAAGTACAAATTAGTAGCTGATGGGTGGTCACGGGGATGGGGAGCATGGCATAGGGAATGCACTTAGCATTAATACCTTGGTTAGATGGAGGGTCAAGGGAGGGAGAGAGCAATTGGGGGGACCATTTACAAACTATATAGATGTCTAACTAATGTACTATATACTTGAAACTAATTAAAATGAAAAAAATAAAAAATAAAAAGGGGGAAAAAAATGGTTTGGGTCCAGACCGTGACATGGTAAGGAGAATAAACATTATCTCATATGCAGTGAGAATTATTCAAGATTTCAAGTGACAGAGCGTACAAAAGGTAGACTGGAAAGGGGAGAGTCTGGAGACAGGAAGGAATATTTAGCAAGAAGTAGTGGTAGTGGACATGAAGAAAAAGGGACAGCACTGACAAATATTTTTGAAGTAAAAACCAACCTGATTAGATAAGGTGGGTGGGGGGAGGGCACGTGATATGGGTGAAGAGGAGTCAGCTTCTATCTTAGGCGAAAAAATAAAATCTCAAGTACAGAGAAAAACAGATGTTCTGAAATCAAAAAGCAAGTACAGATCATGGGGGAGAGAGAAGAACCATAATTCGTTCAGTTTTAAAATTACTGAGTTTGAAACACCTTTTGGAATCCCTCAGATAGGTCACGAGATTATGGGCCTGGCCTAAAGTGTATTTACTTAAGGTATGAGTCATCTTTTAGAAATGAGAGCATGAGAAAGCCCTGAATTTAATTAATGGGTAGATCCCTAAACTGCCCCAGCAGGAAATGCTAGTCTAATTTTTTGATTTGTATTTTATTTATTTAAAAAAATGGTATTCGTATAATTCAAACAAGTAATTTAAAAAGGGTAGAGTGAAAAATCTTTTTCCTTGTTTATCAAACAACCCATTTTCTCTTCCCAAAGTAATGAATGTTATCTAATCTTTTGTATCTTTCCTGAGACATTCTTAATTCATATAAGCAAATATACAGAAATCGTCTTTTCCTCTTTTAATAAGACATAAAGACTTCCCCCACAGCCTTCCTCAGCTGAAGGACATTTACGTACCTTAGAGAGGCACCCTCAGTCTTAATCACATCTCCATCTTTCAGATAAACATATTGAAGCTCTCCACTTCCTATAATTTCTTTTCTCTGAGGATTCCGTGGGAGTTTTTTAATGCAGTATGTGGTGTCTAGGGACAAAACATGTAAAATATTTAAGTCACACTTTAAATAATAATTCTGCCTTTTAAGAGACCAATTTAAAGGAGCTAACACTTGTGAATGACTGAAAAAAATATTAACATGGAGACAACAGAAAATAGGATGAATTCAGCAGCATATCTCTGGGATGGTAACTATTTCTTCCATTTCAACCAAAGAGCTTTTTACTCTCTCATGCCTTTCTAGGTCTCCATAAAAGCCTTTGTGTTTTTCTGGTCATTCCTATTTTACACAAAAATTTGAAAGTAGTTCTTCATAATCTTACTAGCTTTATATCAAGATGGGTGTTAAAGAGGCAGTTATACAGAACCTGGGAACTTTTCTCTGTCTAGCTGGGTACCATATAGTATAAGATGTCATGGTATTATGACAGTAGTTAATAATAAAAAGATGATAATTATCAAGTTCTTTCTGGGAATGCTGAAAGGAAGCTCCAAATCCAGGGCTAAGATCATAAATTTAATCCATATTACCTCTCACTGACACAAAGAAAATCAATTACTTAACCAATCAAAAACTGATTGCCAATTATCTAACCAGTATAGTGAATATATAAGCAGCATAACATCAACGTGCTTAAAAACTGCGATAGTTGGGATCATAAAACTAACGAACAGGAAATAATTAAAGCATTATACTCAGTACCATTTAATACTAAATGTACAATTCAGCTAACAAAAGGAAAAGTTTAGAAAAGCAGAAACAATTAGATAAGGTTTCATAAATATGACAGAACGTGGGGTGTGATGAGCAGGACAGGAGAATGTTCATGGAAAGACTTTTAGGTAAGTGGACAGAAAATGTCACAGAAATGAGAATGGGCACAGCAAATGTGCAACAACACAATGCTACCAATTAGTCTAATGCAAAATACTGGCTAGGAAAAGCAGAGATAGGAAAAGTGGGATTAGTAAGATGAGTTCAGATCACGGAGAGCCGTAAATAGCCTTTCACAGAATTGAAGAATTTACACTTTGTTATATGTGGTCAGTGTACCCTCTTCAGTAAGAAAATGAAATAGTGTTAACAGGTCGATCAATATGGCAGCTGTATGTGCGGAGCACAAAGGCAGAGATATCAGAAAGACCATGAGGGGGTGACTGTAACAGCCCAGCTGGAACGTAATAAACATTGGGGCCCAGGCGGTAGCAATGGAAATATGGAGGGGAAAAAAAGAGGAAAAACTGACAAGGCACAGAGATTTGGCTAAGTATGAGGGAGAAATGAGAAATTGTGCAATAAAAATAAAACAACAGCAACTAGACTTTTCCTCTCCAGCCCCAAACTCCATTATTCTTTATTTTAGGCTGAAGCAAAAAATATGCTACTTTGGGAACTGTCTTCATTGTAGATTGACATGGTAAGGTTTTTGAGTTTGTTTTTGTTTTTAATCTGCATAATTTTGCCTTTCAGTAAAGAAGTGGAGGTATTATGTTTATAGTTACGAGACCTTTGGCAGTCAATCCTTCCAAAAAAACTAACAATTATCTCTAAATTACAAAACAAATGTCATACCATAAAATAACTTGGTGTCAGTTTTTTAAATTATGTGTAAATATGAAAGCACATATCCTATTTGCAACAATAATCTATAAACAGAGAATATATCCATATATATTCTCTCTCTATATAAATATATGTGTGTGTGTATGTATATATATATATGTATATATATAGACAGGATGGAGAAGGAAATAGTGCAAACAATCACATAATAATAATGTTTAATAAAAGCTTGAGATATAATTCGCATACTATAAAATTTGCCCTTTAAAGCAAAATTTCATTTTTTTTTAAAACTGTATTCAAAGAATTGTACAACTATCACCACTATATAATTGTAGAACATTTTCAAAACCCCTCAAAGAAACCCCATACCCAATGGAAGTCACTCCCTATTCTCTCCTGCTCCCAGCCTCTGGCAATTAACTACTTATCTACTTTCTATCATATAATTATTTTATGTGGAGGAAACTTTCACTCATTTGTTAAGGTATGAATGGATTGTAACATCATTGTTAATGCTAATTATTTAAGCTGATATAAACATGTGATATTGTTCATGTATAATACTTTCTAATAGAGACACATTCTAACTAAATACTGTAGAAGCAAACATTTGACACCCAGGACTGGTATGAAATACATGGCAGAGATCCAACTTCAGCTGCAAAATAATAATTATCAGATAATGAAATATATTTTGTAAGATTTATTAAAAAATAAAACCAAAAGAAAACATTCAAGCAGCCTGGACAATATAGATCTCACGTCTAGTACACTTCTGGCTCCTTGTAAGACACTGGGAGTTCTGAAATTATCCAATGAATTTATTTTAAAATTAAGCAGGTTGCTTCAGGGTTATTATATCTCCCATAGAAATCTTACAAATAGCATCCGTAATATTGGTGAAGCCTATAAAAACACCATTTGTTAGCATTGCGAAGTAGCTGAAAAATTTTCTGCCATACTAATAATTATACAAAACAGTAAAAGAACATGGAACAAAGGAAATGAAAATGAAACAAAACAGAACAAGAATGGAAGTGATTAAAGATTTACGGAATGAAGCGGCATGTGGAACTTCTGCGGCGAGATTCTGAAAGGGGCTTCTCCATAGTTTTAGTGCTGAGCAACTCAAGGTCTGCACACAGTTGGTCCAGCTTCGACAAAGTTCAGAAATACAACAAGCCACTTCTCAAATAAAGTATTAAAATTTTAGTGGCTACAGAGCAGTTATCAAATTTCTCCTTGATTTTTAAAAAATCAATCTCGTGGGCAATCTATTCTATAAACATTCAGTATTCTGTATAAAGCCCAACATGATTTTAATTTTTAAATTAAAGAAAGTCAGTCAAACGTGTTGACATGAATGGATAAACGAAGAATGGTGCATTCTTACCATGGATTACTGCTTGGCAATAAAAAGGAACAAATTACTGATACATGGAACATGGGTGAATCTCAAAGACATGATGTGGAGGAAGCCAGAGAGTGATTCTATATGCTTCCATTATGTGATATTTTAGAACAGGCAAAACTAATCTCTAGTGAAATAAAGCAGATCAGTGGGTGCTGGAGGTGGAGAATCACTGCAGACAGGCAGGCACAGGGGTACTTCTTTTTGGGGTGG